TTGATATGCCGTAAAACAAATCAAATTAAACCAAGCCAATCGAGAAAAAATGCCATTACGAGTAAGTTAGCTTTTCTTACAACGTAAAAAAAAAATAAACATTTACCTTCGTAGCCGAGAGTTAAGGCACTCTCCCCTCCGAGTCAAGCGAAGAGGTTCCCCTATAAAGAGGGACACGGGTTCGATCTCTGAGGGAGTCCGCATTTTTTTTTTTTATTAAGATTTCTCAATTGTGTACGCCAATAAACGTAATACACAATGTTTAAAATAAAAATAGGACGTCTACTTCAAATGCGAGTATCCACTATAATAACGTTTTAAGTAATATATATGTGAGTGTGCTACCTTCCTTACTCAGTTCTTTTCTCCGTTTCTCTCCGTTTCTTTGCGTGTCTGTTCTTTCGTTCTCACAATCTCATCTTCTAATTGTCTTTGGTCTTTCTTTCCTTCCCCCTATATATCTTACCTTTCTCAGTCTTTTTTTGACTCTTTCTATTTTAATTCTCTCTCTCTCTCGGTTATTTTCCATTCTTTCTTTCTTTCTTTCCATTCTTTCTCTCTCTCTCTCTCTCTCTCTCTCTCTCTCTCTCTCTGGCGTGTGTGGGAGGCGGATATATATATCTATATCTCTCCTCCTCGTCTTTCCCTCGCTTTCTCTCTCTCATTGCATATCACTTTCTCACTGTCATTCCCCTTTCTTACCCTTTCTCTTTTCTTCGTTCATTTATAGCACTTTCATCTTTTTCGTATTTTTAATTTTTCTTTTATGTGCGTGTTTTTTTCAGGATATGCCTCTCCACAACTTCTTATCCTTTATAGCTATAAGTAATGCTAGTCTCATTACTATGCATCTCACTCTTTGTTCTGACATCCATTTACTTATTTTTCAAAAATATATTTTACGCACACCTACACATTTTAAATCTTTTAATCTATCCTCTCTCTCTCTCACACCACTCTCTCTCTCTCTCTCTATCTATCTATCTATCTATCTCACTTTTGTCACTCTTTTTATCTCTGGCATTCTTTTTCTCCCTTTTCTTCTCTCTCTTTTTCTCACTCTTTTCTCTCTACACTCCCCCTTTTCTCTCTCTACACTCCCCCTTTTCTCTCTCTACATTCCCCCTTTTCTCTCTCTACACTCCCCCTTTTCTCTCTCTTTTTTCCATTTAATCTTTTCTCTCTCACACTCACCTCTTTATTTCTCTCTTGTGAGCTCTTTTTCGCTCTCTCTCTTTTATTCCTCAGTGACGATTTTCTTTTCCCCCCTCTCTCTCTTTCTCTATCTATCTATCTATCTCTCACACACACACACACACACACACACATTTTTTTCTCTCTTTTCCTTTTTCTATCTTTCTCTGTCGCTAACTCTCCTTCTGTCTTTCTTTCCGTCTCTTTGCATTTTACATATTTTTAAACCAGTTTTCTTTTATCGCTCTTTGATGAACATAGTTTATCGTGTCGGCTTTGAAACACTCATACACAGATTTTCCGCCCGTCGTTCTACTCTCGCCCCTACATACATACAGTCATATTTCTCTCTCTCTCTCTCTCTTTTATTCCTCTGTTAACAAGTCTTTCCTATACTTTTCTTTATTTTTTTAACCCCATTTTCCGCATCAAACACACACATACACAGACTCTGCTTAACCATTTCAGATATGAACAAATTTACTTCGTCAAAGGCATATATTGGTACAGTTTAAAGTTTAGCACCCATACATATATATATTCAGCGTTCCACTCGATGTGCAATTCTATGCGACGTTTTTGTATATATTTTCGCCCCCTCCTCCTACATATATATACTTCCATCAATAAGAGTCTTATTTTAGTCTGATGAAGTCTTTTAAATGACGAAACACGTCATTGTTTCCCATTTTTGTCATTCAGTTGCCCACCATCTGGTATATGGAGTTCATATATCAAATTTCTTCGATATATTGATACGAAAAGAGAAATCCATAGTGTGGGATTAGGAAGTAGATTTTGAATGGCCCTTACATTGGCTCATATTTCTGTCACCCACTCACATCTCTCTCTGCCTCTCTCTCTCTCTCTCTCTCTCTCTCTCCCTCTCTCTCTGTCTCTCTCTCTCTCTCTCTCTCTCCTGTTTCCTCTCTTTTTCGTTCTTGTTCTCCCTATCTATTTCTATCTCTTTTTTATCCCTGACTTTCTCCATCTTTCTCTCTCTCTCTCTCTCTCTCTCTCTCTCTCTCTTTCTTTCGTACACACACACACACGGTCTCACGCACAGTTATTAAATTTGCATGATTGCTTGCATTTACCTCTCCGTCTCTCCTCTCTCTTAACTCCCTCTCTCCTAACTCCCTCTCTCCTCTCCCTATCTCTCCCTCCTTGTAGCATTTCTAGCAAATCTTTCCTTCTAACCTACTTCCTTCTGCTAATAACCCTTCCTCTCGCTTCCTTTCTTCATCCTTCTCTTCATTGTCCTTATCTCTCGCCAACATACACACGCATACGACCAGAGACATGAAAATTTACGTACATATACACACACAGGGAAGTTAAACCTGTTATTTGCACAATTACCTGCATTTCCTTCATTAATCTCTCTCTCTCTCTCTCTCTCTCTCTCTCTCTCTCTCTCCATCTGCCTACTTTCTTTCTCTCTCGTTTTCTCTCACTTTTTCTCTCTTTCTTTCTAACTTACTAACCTTTTGTATTTTGGTATCTTTTTTCTTAGTCTCTCCCGCTTTCTTTCTAACCTTCGGAGAAAAAAATCATCATCATCAACAGCATCATCATCATCATCATCATTACTTTCTTTCTCCCTAGCTAGCTAGATAGATAGATAAATAGATTCCTTGAAGATTGTGTTTAATCTTGAAAAAGACTATCGTCTTTTTGGTGTTGACCTCAGTGTCCATTTATATATATATATATATATATATATATATATGTATATATATATATATATATATATAGATAGATAGATAGATAGATATTATAACTTGAATTTTATTACATCTATACCAACCTTGTATCGTATATATATATATATATATATATATATATATATATATATATATATATATGGATATTTTAACTCTATCTTATACACACGAACGTTAAATTTCTTACTTGCACATTTGCCTGCATTCCTCTCTCACTCTCTCTTGCTATCTATCTATCTATCTATCTATCTATCTATCTATCTATCTATCTATCTATCTCAGTCTGCTTATCTATCTATCTATCTATCTCAGTCTGCTTATCTATCTATCTATCTATCTATCTATCTATCTATCTCAGTCTGCTTATCTATCTATCTATCTATCTATCTATCTATCTATCTATCTATAACATACGCACACATATTCTTTCACTTTCTCATCTATTTATCTTCCTGTAGTTTTACACTTTTCTGTCTATCTCTTCTAAGCACTTCCTCCCCTATACATTCACATATCCACGCACAGACCTACGATCCGTATAATTCACTCTCTCATTCTCTCTCTCTCTCTCTCTCTCTCTCTCTCTCTCTCTCTCTCTCACTTTCCTTCCCTCGTTTTGACGCGTCTCTCTGTCTCTTATCTTTACTATTACTCTTCCCACTTTTCTTACTAAGCTTATTTCTTAAACATATATCACAGAATCATGGGCACATTCCTAGAGCTTAAACCGGATACTTACACAATTATCTATTTTTCTTTCTTTTATCGCCCTCCCTTATTATCTCCCTCTCTGTCTCTCTTTCTCTGTTCGCCCATCTCTCCTGTAATCGTTCACTCTTCTTCTCTCTTATCTGATTTTTCTCAGTATTCCCCCCTGATAACCTTTGGCTTTCTTCTCGCTCTTTTTTTTCTCTCTTTTTCTGTTTCTCCTTCTCTCTTGTAACCGTTCAATCTCCCCTCTTAACTATCAACCATCTCTCTTTGTATTCCTCTGATAACTTCTGTGTTTCCTTCCTTCTCTCTGTCTCTATCTGTGCCTGTCTATCTGGGCCTGTCTATCTGTGTGTGTCTGTGTCTGTGTATGTCTGTGTCTGTGTGTGTGTGTGTGTGTGTGTGTGTGTGTGTCAATTTCGCTGTTCGTCCTTCTTTCAACTGTTCAATTTCCTTCTCTTTCTTTTCAACCATTTTTGCATTCCTCTCCGATAACCTCTCTACATATATCGATCTGTGTCTCTCTCTGCCCCTCTTTGTCTCTGTCTTCCTGTCTCTCTCTCTCTCTCCCTCGCTCTTTCTCTCTCTTTCGCTGTTCGTGCTTCTTTCTTGCTACTGTTCAATCTCTCTTTTAACTATCAACCATTTTTTTGTATTCCTCTCTGGTAATCTTTTCTCTCTCTCTATCTCACTCGCTGTCCCTCTGCCTGTCTGTCTATGTGTCTGTCTGTCTGTCTCTCTCTATCTATCTATCTATCTATCGATCTATCTATCTCTCTCTCTCTCTCTCTATATATATATATATATATATATATATATATATATATATATATATATATATATCCCTTTAAACCCCTACATCTTTACACCGCTCGCTTTTCTCCCACTGTTCCTTCTCAGCGCTGTTTTCAATTCTACTATGACCTATATGCTTAAGACTTCGTCATTGGTGTAGTAATGCTCGTACAAGCAGTACTAATATTTTCCCCCTCTTTTACCAGCACAACAAAAAACAACTCGCAAATCCATTCAGAGCACGTGCAGCTGACGGCGTCTGTTTGTAATAATTGAATTGGTGTTTGTTACATGCGTCTATGTAATTAAGTAAAAAGGTGTGTGAAATTGCGTAGGTACATTGAGAAGGTACTATTAATTAAATATTATCTATGCGATACCTGTACCCGTTCGGGTCTACGTACTAAATTATCTTCACGTTCAACTAGACCGTGCAGATGAAGCCCACCACAGATACATATATATATATATATATATATATATATATATATATATAGATAGATAGATAGATAGATAGATAGATATGGACACTGACAGAAAGCTATATGAGTCTCTTCATATTGAGCTCTTGTTCTTTCTACTTATCTGTAGTTCTCTCTCTCTCTCTCTCTCTCTCTCTCTCGCTCTCTCTCTTCTTCGTTTTTTCTCTGTCTTTCTGTCAGCCTATTTTACCTTTCCTACTCTCGCTCTCTTTCTATTTCTTTTATTGGTTATTTTCCCTCTTTCAGAGTTTCTCTCCCCCCCCCTCTCTCTCTCTCTCTCTCTCTCTCTCTCTCTTTCTCTCTCTCTCTCTCCCTGACAGGAAAACAGACATGAGAGAGGTATATTGCTCATACATACACACGTGTGAAAGAGTATGTGTATATCTGTAAGTAGACTACGTACACTTACATTTATGTCCACACCTGTACCCGGGTGGTTTACACGGCGAGTTTACTGGGTACCTGAGACTTGTTTATTTCAAGATGCAGTGAGTTGCGGTCAAAGCCAGTTTGATGCATCCTGATTACCCCTCCCTCACACAGCAGTCAGTAAATTAGCATAGATATCTATCTAGTATACCAACTCTCGCTCTCTCTCTCTCTCTCTCTCTCTCTCTATATATATATATATATATATATATATATATATATATATATATATATATTGGGAATAAAGGTGTGGTGGTTGAAGATTTAATATAATTTCTCATGTGTTATTAGAATCTTGTTTCAAGGCATAGATTATATAAAAACATTATATGCTATATATATATATATATACATATATATATATATATATACATACCACCACAACTTCTCAGTCGTTTTCAACGAAACTTATATATATATATGTGTGTGTTTGTGTGTGTTTGTATATATATATATATGTGTGTGTATCTCTCTTTGTATATGTATATGTACATATATATATGTGTGTATGTATAAATATACATGTGTGTATATATAAACACATACATATATATGTATACATGTATGTGCGTATGTATATATATATATATATATATATATATATATATGCATGTATGCATTGTGTGTGTATCTATGTATTTGTGTTACAAAAGGAACGTCCTTTTTATTTATTTACTTTTATTGAACAAAAATAAATTACAGTATTTTAAGCAAATTTATAAGTATTGTCACATCAAAGCAACATGATTTGTTATGCTTAACAAACTATTTAACATGTTCAAAATGCTCCCCTTCATGTTCAATAGAACGCTGAACGCTATCAGCAACACTCCTACAAATCATTTGACACATTTCTTCATTAATTTCAGAAAAAATTATCAGAAATTGCTTGTGTTTTTATTCAGGAATTGTTTTCGTTTTGAGTCTGTTCACCTCACCTGAAAAAAATCTCATGTCATTAGGTCTGTTAATCGCGATGTCCACTCAATTGTTCCAAATCTTCTATCCAATTCATCTCGAAAGAAAAGTACGTTACTATTGCCGCACCATAGTTGTATGTTTGGTCAGCAGTCCTTCTTTTATACATGTTTCATTGAATTAGATTGAACGATGTACTCTTGTTTAGATCTTATGTTTTTTTGTCTTCTTTTCTGTACTTAATGAAAAGATTTTAGCCGAAAGTACATTGAACCAACAAAATTGAGAACAACTTTTTTTAATGAATGTAAAATAAGAAAAGAATCTTCTACAATTACAAGAAAAACATAATAAAAAAAATAAACAAAAGTAACTTGTCAATCTTTTTCAACGAATTGTCCTTTCTCCTTACTAGCATTTTCCCATTTCTCTCTCTCTCTCTCTCTCTCTCTCTCTCTCTCTCTCTCTCTCTCTCTCTAGGTAAATCCATTGCGTCTTAGTAGCATTATCGCCTTGCTCTGGAATAAAACGATTAAATATATAGTGTAAGCAAAATGAGAAAAACGATACTTAATTGCTCAAACGTCAGTGTAGAGCCAAGGTGCTGAATATAACAATTTTTATTTGTAATTATTATATTATATATATATATATATATATATATATATATATATATATATATGAGAGAGAGAGAGAGAGAGCGTCTAGCATGAAACAGTTTGTCGCTTCTGAGTGTTGACTTCAATGTTCACTTTTATATTTACATACGCTCTATCTCTAATATTGAGCCCTTTATCCTATAAATATAGCAAGCCTTAAAAACTATATTTCTTCATATATATATATATATATATATATATATATATAACAATATAGGTTCATATATATATATATATATATATATATATTTATATAAAAACCTATATTGTTAAATATAACAGAAAATGAATATCTATTATGTTTGATCATGAACCGTTCTAAACTTGGTATGTTTACTTTAATTTCGGGTGAAAATAAAGACAAAAATTACCCAACATGCGAACATGAGAACGGCTCATGATCAGATATAATAGACATTCATTGTCTGTTATATTTAACAATATATGATTAAATAATAATTTGCTGTTCCAAGACTCTCTATATATTGTCAGATGTCAAAATACCTCATAATACCCTGGAGCGGGTAGAGTGGAGATCAACGTGTTTTAGTAGATTCAGTAGTTTTCAATCTGGTAGTCTGAATC